ATTTGTGCGTTCCTTAATAGCTAGATTATCCTTGATGAAATGAGCGAGTGATGCTAGTGTTTAGTCGAAGAATATATGTATAATACGAAAATGGTAGGAGGAAGTAAGGTAATCATTTAACCTTAAGGGAGTTACAACAACACTTCAATGACGCCCATAATTAGAATATTATAAGAAAGAAACCCTACTGTCACTAGGAGTTTCTATGACCCAATAGACCACCGCCTATGCCTCATTAATTATTCCAATTTCTGTCTCATTAGTGGTTTTACCCTTATGTTACATGTTTCTAATCAAAATTGAATTCAGATTAGTAATCAAGCAGGTCGAAAAGGCTCCCGCGTACTTAACTACATTGAAATACCCTGGATTTGTTTGTGACACAAAACAAGGCTTGAATAATCGATTTTTCTATGTTCTTTATCAGTGATGTGGAGTTCTTTACAACTCAGATTTATATAAATGTGAGAATAATGAGGGAGTGACGATGAAGAACAAGTGATATTTCATTACTCACTATGAAAACAGTAAAGTTCTATTGCTACAAAAGTTGTAAATCAAAGCGGTAAACTAGGACTAAGGAAGCGCTAAAGTAGTGGCCAAGGAAGGAGAAAAATCTCAACTCCCCTGGCCATTCCTACTGAGAATTCCTTTACAAGGTTGGAGCTCTCGGAAGGCAGCTACGAATTTGCACATGAGTTATGCGCGTAAACTCCTCTCGAAGTATATTTACAAATAGAAATCTGGCCTTATTTATAGCTAATGGAAGTAGCAGTTGCGAGTAGTTAAGAAGTGGTTTCAACCGCTAAGCAGTTAGGCAGTTGATGACGGTTATTCCGTTGAAGCCGTTGATGGCCATAACTCCCAAGGTGCTCGCTTTGCTTGCTTTGACTTGTAGGGGCGCAGATCTTCCTAACTTACCCAGATGGCTAGAGGGCATCAGCGCAGTTGAGCGGAATTATCTATGCTGGCTGGTAGTGGAATGGTTGTTCCGCTGCGGGTTGGACATATTATCTGCAGTAAGTTGTCGTTGCTTCGTTGCGGTAAGTGTCTGAGTAGCTGGCATGAGTGATGAGATCGCCGCTTGTTGAGCAGACATGTCCATCGCTTGTTTCTCATGCCTTGGCTTTTCTGGACCAGAATCACCGCTTAAAAAGGCAAAAATCGTTAATAATCTCAACAAACCAATTTTGGATCATACCAAGCTGAATAGATCAATAAAGCATATCATAAATCATATATTGTGATGGTTTTCATACCAAAATTCAAGTAATACATAGTTTTGTTAAGCAGATAATATGCTCATATTTGGAGTTATCAGTGTGCGATCCATCTTGACCTGGTTTAGATGGCCCGACCCACTGCAAAGACCCATGTCTCATCATGATTTCATTCCAGCCATCTATTTTAGGGTTCATATCTATGTCGCTCACTGTGTTATATATATATATATATATATGTTGTTCTCATAAACACACAAGTGAGTGTGTGCGCTGCTACTGCTGTGTGTCTTCTCTCAGCACTCTCTTTCACAATTAGTTTCTCTTCAATCTGCTGCATGTTTGACGGTGACGTTTTTCGACAATTTTCACCGTGAAATTTTAGGCGAGTGTTGTGTGCATCTTGGGGAAGTGTTTGATGAATTTTCTGTGATTCAATTCTTCCATAGTAGAACTATTCCGATATAGACTGTTGGGTCTTCAATCTTGAGTAGAAGACTAGGTCTCCGGCGGGTATCCATTGGCGGTCGACCGTCGCTTGTTGTTGTGTTTAATCTCTCTTCTTCTATTAGAGTAGATCGGTGAATAATATAAGCTACAAATGTATTTGTTGGTTTTACGTTTTGTGTTTTGTTTTTATTTCTTAAATAAAAGTTGTATTTAGTTTTTTAAACTTGTTTTCGATCTAGTCTTTCAATCTAAAATCTTACCATAAGTACATGTGGATAAGTTGGAGGTTCATTTGGTATACTCTATAGCTGGCTCGTGTTGTGCATCAATATTTTTTATGAATAATTCTATGTTAGGAATTAGATGACGTCTATTTCGCTTTATATAGTTTTTTTTATACGTTCTAACCGAGTTAGCTTTTTTACAAGTCTATTGGTATCCATCCGAGTTAGCTTTTTAACAAGTCTATTGGTATCCATCTATGTAGATAATTAAAGTTGATCAAGATAAACATGCTTAAGCATAAAAAATGTAAACGACGTCAAATTGTATGAAACAAAAACCATAATCTACGTAAAAAATTGCATCAAAAACGTAAGCAAACAAAAAATTTTAATGAGATATGCAAATATAATAATGCATTAAAATAAAATTTTCAAACAAAGAAACATTCAAAAGAAGAAAGAAAAAACACAAGAAATTATTGGAAAATAAATTATATCCTAAAAATCAAAAAATAAAAATTCTAAAATAAAAAATTTTAGGACCTTTTATTATTTTAATTTTAAGGTAAATTGATTTTTTTTCGTAATTGGACCTTTTATTATTTTAATTTTATAATTGAAGACAGTCTTAAAATAATCTCGTTAATAAAATATTTTCGTACATTTACTGATGCTTATATAACACTTGCGTGGCATGTCGTTGGACACATGTCGGCCCAGTCAACGTCACGTGGCCAACATATGTCAGCAATATGGATACTTTTTATTTTTATTTTTTTTAAAATATTAAAATATAAAAATATAAAAACTAAAAAAATAAAAATTATCCACATGTTCGGTCAGAAACACATAGTCTTTAATAATTTATATAGTATTATATTTTTTTCATTTGTCATTTTTATCTTATAAAAAATAAAAATTATTCACGTATCGATCACTTGGCGCTGATCCGGTGGATACGTGGATAATTTTTATTTATTTATTTATTTTTATATTTTAAATTTTTTATGTTATTTATTTTATATTTTATATATTTTAAAATAAAATAAATAAATAAAATAAAATAATTTTATGTGGCAGACACGTGACACTGACGCTGATATGTGTCCACGAGTATGCCATACAAAATCTGAAGACTATGGATGTATTCAATTGGGATTTTTAAAAAGTCTATGAATTTTTGTAGATCTAAAAAATCCACTGAGTTTGATAGATTTTAGTAATTGATTTACATAGATTTTTACATATTTGATTGAATTCTTTATGAATTTATATGGATTTCGTGGGATTGTAGAAAAATCTTTTTATGGATATATATAATTATATAAATTTATATGAAACACAAATTTTATAAATATAATATATTTATAATTAAAGTTACTTATATATTATTAAAACACAAGTTCTATAAATGTAATATATTTATAACTTAAGGTATTATACTCTCTTCGTCCCAAACACCGTGCAACATTTGTGTTTTGCACGTGAATTTAGGCGAGAAGTATTAAGTATGGTAATTTGAAATAATTTGGATATTAAGTGATGTGATTGGAGAGATAAATGATTATTTGTTTTATTATTTGAGTGATGTAATGGGATAAAGTGAAGTGTATATTAATATATGTATATAAATATTATTAATTATTTCTAAATTTAGAAATGTTGCAGTGGGTTTGAGACAAATAAAAAAATGAAATATTGCAGGCTGTTTGGGACATAGGGAGTAATTATTATATTTTTTATAAAATAAAATCTAATATTAATTATTAATAACGTAGAAGCATTGTAACATAATGTAATACTACTATATTGTATATTAATATTTTAAAATTTATAATTTTAGTATTATATTATCATTTAATATATCAAATTAGTTTTATATTTCTTTATTAGTTATTATTATTATTATTATTTATATAAATTTTTTACATAAAAAATAAATACGTACATAAATAAAATAAAAAACATAATTTATGATTTTTGAAAAAGTATTAAAATAAAAAAGTAAATAAATATAAATTAATGGTTTAACAAAAAATATATATTGAAATATTTATTCTACTGTCATCGAAATGACAATATAGTATATTCGATAATTGAAAAACGAGAATGAAACCAGAATGACAATATATTATATTTAATAATTGGAAAAGAAAAGTGACACCGGAATAACAATATATTATATTCTATAATTGAAAAAGAAGAATAACACCGGAATGACAATATATTATATTCGATAATTGAAAAGAAAAGACGACCGTAATACATATTTATTATGATAATAATATTTTTTAAAATTATATTTATAATACTCCCACAAAGTATCCATTTTTCCATTTTAGTCTGTCCTACGACAAAGTATCAATTTCATTTGTCCTATGACAAAGTATCAATTTCATTTTTAGTAACTGTACTATCTACATAACATTACAAATACCCTTACAACTTACAATATATTACACAAATGACATTACCTTTGTATCACACATACTATATTCATATGTAATACTATTATACCTAAAACTACGCTTAAAAAGTAATTGGATACTTATTAATGAAACGGAGGGAGTATAAAACTATATATTTTTAAAAAAAATGATAATAATTCGCTAATATATTTTAATTTTTAATTATTATTTTTATTAAAAATTATAATAATATTAATAAATATTATCATATTATTTATTACTTGTACAACAACAACAATAATAATAATAATAATAATAATAATTTTAAAAATCCATCAAAATCTCTATTTATGATGAGAGATTTATACAATACAAAATTTTTACAATTTACTATGAAAATTTATAGACTTTCAAAGTATTGTTAAATACCTCGAAATTTTAAAAAGACTTTTAAAAGTAAAAGTCTGTATTGAATGCCTCCAGATTTTAAAAGAATACACTTAGATTTGAAGAGTCCAACAAAATTATACAGAATCGGGATTGAATACAGCAAAACTATTTTAATACCACCTTCAAGGACTACAATAATAAAATAATTCAATTATAGGACAAAAATATCAATTTACTCTAAAATTAATTGGTGTTAAAGTAAAATAGTCATTCACCCCATATGTCAATATTCAACAGCAACCGTGAAATTTGATAAGAAACTTGACAGTTCCGCTTTTTCATAAATACTCAAGATGACAACGTAAATACAATTATATATAAATCCCCTCAGAAAGCAAGCTAGCAAGGTAGCCATCTGCAGAAATAATATACGCAGAAGAAAAGAGGGGATCTAGTAGTTGCTACATTATATATATATATATATATATATATACTACTTACTTTACTTCCTATACACAACACAACAAATTCAATGGCGATGCGCGTCACGTGACGATGCCATGGTGCCGAGACTTGAACAAACCGGCCTCATCGTGTTTCCCGTGCTTCTGAGACATCGACATCGAACCGTCATCTTGATTGCAGCCTCGCTTTTGAGGCTTCCTCTGGTTGCAGGGATTAGAAGACGATCTCTGCAAACACCAGTGATCCGGGACACTCAAAAAGTATGTGTTTATGAAGTGTCGAAACCTCTTCTTATAGTCCCTCGGGGAGATGATAGTCGGCAACTGATTCTTGGGCACAACCAGCGAAGACTTCACCCAATTCTCCAGCTGCTTATCCCAAGTATACTGTCTTAGATAGTCTATGATGCCGCAAGCCATCTCCCGGCGCCGCGCATCCACTCCCACCAGAAGAGAATAATCCATCACATTGATCGACTGCGATCGCACACAAATACACGCCCTAGTTAATTCATTCATATAATGCTATGTTATATATAGAGAGTGAGAGAGACAGATTGAATCCAGCATCACCCTACTCCAACTTACATTGAGAAAATTAGTGTCGTTGTATACTGCTCGCTGAAGGTTTCGCTTTGATCTGCGGCTAATGTAAATAGGTGATTCGTTCATATCATTGACGAAATTCTGATCCAAAAGAACATCTTCCAGCGCGTTGCTTGAAGTGTTGAATCGAGCATGGAGAGCTCCTTTTAGATCGTACTGTCTCGACACATTTTGCCCGAATGAAAGATTCTCCATCACAATCAGATCATGTCTGCTCTCCTTCCCATTTTTGTTCCCTCTTATGACAACCTAACCGAAAATTGTCCAAGGAGAGAGCGTTAGTTCGTTAGTGTTATAACTTAGGGTTAAAGAAATGAGAATTTATTTGAATCAATTGAAATAGAGAGTACCACAGAGAAAACCAATTCACTCTATAACCAAAACCAGAATAATGACGGCCTAATTTGACATGACCTAGATGCGACAGAATTATAGGCCAAGCCCAAGACTCAGTAATTAAGAATTAAACAGTAAATAAAATAATAATTATCGTAGGTGAGTACGGTGTTCTCCCTCTTCTAATATAGACCTTGATTTTACCCAATTTCATAACAGTTAGCTAGCTCGGATACAAGAACAACATACTTACATACATATATATAGTATAACAATATATACCCGACAACACATTAAATATAAATCGACAACACATATAAGTACTTTATATAACATGTGTTGTATATTATCTATAGTATTTTCATGTGATGATTGGAGCAATCAGCATGGTGCAGATAAATTCCCAATCAGCACTCTAGCACCCGAAGCGCGTATATATATCTATAAGACTAACCTGGTAAATGCCGAGAATTTTCGCAAGGCACGTCTGATTTCCCAACTCGTAGCACTGATTCATGTACTCGAAGTAGTTCGTGGAAAATTTCATGAATGAGTCGAATTCGGTCCTCTGAATTCCCTTTATGATAAAACGATCATCTAATGTCTTAGCAAAGAAGGATTTGCTCTTCCCGCCTTTGGCATCCCAATTGCGACACCGGCTTAGTGAAGCAATGTAATCGGTTTCAGAAGAACAAAACAAGTCCCGCAGCTGACGGAACTCAGCAGAGTAGATGCATACAACGGAATATTTTCGTTTTGCTGAATACTTCCCCAATCCCATCGAGACTTCCGGGTGGCTAGCACCGTAAGAAACATACGAATCCAACAAATCTAGCCCGTCAAAGCTCGACGAACTTGAATCTTCCCAGATGGTTCGTGGAGAATGCAAAGTATCAGAATCCGACGAGCCAGATGAAGACCAGTGTGAAGTAAAAGAAAATACCCGTGTCAAGTTGTGAGAAGTGTCGTTGGAATTAGAATCGAATCCTTTTTCCTTCTGTGATTCCCTCGACTGATGATCTTCTGTTGCTAGCGCTGCATCCTTCAATAATGTTAGAGCACAAGCTACTACACTCGAGAGTTCTTCTTCATAATCAGAGACGATATAGTCGTTATTACTACCAAGAGGAAGGTGTAGTCTTGAGCCTTCATCAGTGATAAATCTCTGAGCTTCGGATTCTGCTGCATAGCTTCCAAAAGATTCAATTTTTGGCACATATCCTCTTCGAAGATCCTCCATATATTCGCGTCGAATTTCAGTGAAGGGAGCCCAGATCCAACATTTTTCATTTTCTAAGTTGGACTCTTTTCCTTGTAAAAAATCTGCGCCGGTAACTTCTGAACTTTGTTCCACAAATCTACTTTCATCGAATACCCCAATAGGCTCTCCCACAACACCATTGGCGACAAAAGATGCAGAGCATGACGAATTATGTACTCTAGATCCTATCTCATGCTGGAGGTCTTTCATCTGAAACTTATCTGCTTCCCTACAATTTTCAGTAGCAATAGTTGCTGAATGAAATTCTAGCTCCGAAGTTGCATTGTCTTGCAGTATACTTTCTTGCACCACAGAACCGATTGATTCGGTATGGATCACATCAACCACCTTAAGATTGGATGAGAGCAAGGCATGTATTCTTCGGTCCCATATGCAGGATTCAAGGAGAAGTTCCAATCGTATTCGATTCAAGCTTAGAACTTTACTTACATAATCATGGTTAGTTTCATCCATGAGAGCATTTTGGACATCAACCTAAACGAAATTGGCACAGTGAAACAAATATCAAAATGAACTCCAAGCCTTTCTGTACAATCGAAAATAAGATATAGGAAACAGTTTAAAGTATGAGGGTACTCAATCAACCATTTTGTAGCCGTGTGTGCATCTTTTCGGAACTTTGATAATCAAAACTTTCAATAGCTTGAAGTGGTCACATAATTAAGAAAACCGAAAAAAGACATGATATTATCTAACCTCGAATCGAGATTTTTCCTGCTTCAACGTCTCCAAAACATGGGCAAACGTTTTGCTCAAGCCCTGAAAGTTCAAAGCCACCCCAACATATCGACTTCCTAGTTCTTTCAACGACTTTTCAATGTCGAGAAATATTGAAATCCCTTTGGAATACACCTGAAACAGGCAAGAAAAACAGATTTGATTGAGCATAATTATTAGCAATGATGCACATATCTTTACTCAGATACTTCTATAAGCTAAGGCACATCATACATTCTCACAATCTCTCTTCAGAAACTCTCCTCTAAACGATGATTTGAAATCCATCCTCCAAGGTGGCAATGTCACAGAATAAGTTGCAACTGGTGCATACTTGAACATAGCAACCATGGAGCCTAATCTGGAAATCACTCAAAGAAGACATATCAATAACTAGGCAGAAATCAAACATAGATTTCGGATGATAGCTAGAAGACGGGAAATTTGCCTCACCCAAAGAAGTAGAGGAAATCCTCTAGAAAAGAATGACCACAGATCGATGGATTGTTGAATGAAGAGTGGTCTGTAAGACTTAGTTCCAAAAACTTTCCAAAAGATAAACCACGAGCAGCAGTGGACATCAATATCCGTTTCGTGGCTTTAGAGATTCCATCATTGAGTTTACAATGACTACAGCGACTCCACATCCAAAGCCTCCCTTCAGTTTCGCCGGGCAAGCTTTTTCCAGCAGGAAGTTGTCGAACTTGGATTGTCAGTAGCTTGTTATGGTGTGCATAGTTGAAAAGGTGCACATCGGGAGATTCTCCACAAGTCTTGCATTCAAGTCTCTGCAATTAAAAACCCGAAGATTACAGTAAATTAACTAGAAAAAAAAACTAATTCTAATATGACATAATAAGACTTTCGTGTACCTTATTTAGCAAATTATGGCACAAAAATTTTCCGAGGGGAACATCAAAACTCCGGTAAAACTGTATATGGGAAAAATGAGTCTGCTCGCACATAGTCCCTCGCGAAGCATTACGGCTGGACATCAAAACTAGAATACTTTCAGAATCAAGTTCTGTCCTGAAATCATCATTTCCATGCATGTGCCCTTCTTCAGCACTATTATTGCATAACCATGTGCCTGAAGGCTCTGGTTGATGTGTTTGCTCATTATTAAGCAAGTTCTCGTATCCAATCTTCAGCTTGTAATCATGGTGAACTTCAGCTTCTTGATCATCTGACATCCACATTTCATTGTTAGCGTGATTTCTTCCATATACTCCAAACTGATCAGGTATATCCTCGGAAGGGTCCGAGGAAACAGAAATATGATTCATATCTTTTCGAATAGATGTCGAAAGTGATAGATCTGGAAATGTTTCTGGATCGTAGGGTTGACATGGCAACAAAGAATCAACTTTAGAATGTAGAGTAAATTCTTGGGTCATGTCCACCACCTCTTTGGGAGAAATCGAAATCGTGCAGAACATTGCTTTCTGATCTAGAAGAAAAGAAGTTTCGAGCATCAAATGATAGGCCATAACCACTGCACGCCTTACAACACACTTTATCCTCTTCAGTTCATCATTGTTTGCTCCCATCAGCAGAATCTAAGAAGTGAAGACTAGTAAGCTAAACATTTCGAAGTTCACCACTAGAAAAACAGTGCAAAAATAATGTGGATTCGAATTCTTTTCTACATAAAATTGTATTAATTAAATCTTATAAAAAGCACATTTTGAAGTCAAGAAAGACTCACTGTGCATCCAAGGCGATTAGGACACCCCTCAAGGAACATTAAAGTTTTATGTTGTTTTTTCCCAACCTCACTGGAAACGACGTGTTCTTCCACGAACTTTGTAATGTGAAATGAATCACATTGTTTCAGCCTTTGACCTAATGCAACCCCAGGCGACGAAACCGGCAAACCAATACAACGAGCCACTCTCTCTAGACGATGGAGCTTCATATCAAAGACCAGCGTCATTCCTTTTGCAAGAATAGACTCTTGAATGTCTCGAGAAACTGTTTTCTCGACTAATACAACATTTGGATGGCACACCTCTATCATTTCATCAATAGATTTTAAATTGTCCTTCTCCTGTCAATGAATTTATGATCAGCAGAGAATAAGTCTTATATGATCAAGTTAAAATAGGATACTTTCAATTCACCTGCTGCATTGATTCGAATGACAACAATCCACCAGAAGAAAGATCAAGTGATCCATGGATCAGCAGCAGTCTTGGATTCTGGTAACTTGTCGGCATGTGCTTGTGGGCAGCATGCTTCTTGAAGACTAGCCCTTTGATTACATGACTACGAAAAGACAGAAGTTCAAATCAGATTCATGAATTTTCGGAAAAAACAAAATGTAAATGTATAGATATTCCAATACAACACTTAATAGATATCACTACCTTTGGCTGCGTACACCACTTGCAATGCATTTAACCTTCACATAACCATCGGGATCCATTGCCTTATCTTCAAGTGCATCGAGCTTAACAAAATTAGCAGCTTCCCACGATAAAGAGCTCACTATATCAACCCAATTCTCACCATCATTTCCAGAACAATCGGCACCAACAGACTTGATCAGTTGACTTACAAGGGCCCTAAATTTTCCATTTCTAATATAGTTCATTGCTTTAATCTTTTCTTGTTTGAATTTGTACCTTCCACTGCTTTCTTCACTGAGACTTCCTAAACAGCTAGCTTTAGCCCATGCGACGCCATCACCACATTCATCTTCATCGTCATCATAATTTGCAACTTCTTCTAATATTCCATCCTCCATGCCTTCAGATTCTGGTGGAAGCCAAAATTCAGCCTCCCTTTCATCACATGAAATAAAGGTTCCCTTGCAGTCCTCTTTGACCTCGTTTTCAAACCTTTTCACTTCCCTGTTTTCATGATTTACCAAATCACCAGGTTGATCGAAACCATTTGATTTAACAGGGAAGGTTGGGTGATCTTCCAGATGATGCACCGTTGGTAGTACACTGAAATCATCTTCCACATACCCGCTGAGAAAGAATTAAGAAAATTAGCAAGATCTTGGAAGAACATCGAAAGCATTTTGAAATTTTGTCTTCTAAACAAACTAGAGCAGAAGGAATTGCACACCTGTCTGAAAAGCTTGTTTCAACTGAAAAGTCACCTGCAAAGAAGCTTTCATTGTAAGTGAAGGAATTCATCGAAAACAACAGAATTTGGAAAATAGAAAAGATAAAGAGCTAAGGCTTTTAACTGCAACTTGACAAAGAACTGTCACTGCTGCTTAAGGATCTTGTAGAACTGATTGATGGCATTGTGGCTGAACTGTATAATCCTTTGGATTTCCAGAGCCTTGATGATTATTGTAAGACCTCGAAACGTGCAACAATGGATCCCATCCCCTAAATTTGATCTCATACAACACCCATTTTCCCACTTTTTTTTTCTATTACTTTATTACATTTGATGCACTTGTGGCCTCCTGCAAATTAATTTACAAAACAAGGTTAATCTGTCAATCTACACCACTAGAAATTTTTATCACTTTCTCCTCATAAAAGTGAAAAATTGAAGAAAATAAACGAGAACTAAAATGAGAACCATATATGAATCAAACATAACATCGAGAAAATCATTCATAGAAAGAGCTATTTATTATCAAGAACAACTGAATCCCAGCAATCGCAAACCACAATTTCACATTTTCTAAAGTAAAGCAAGAAAATCGTGAAACAAATCAAAGACATGAACAATATATAGATCTCCATACATACATACATTTCAGGCTCTTGAAGAGCACCCAAAGTATTCTCTGAAAAGAAAGAATGGTAGAATTTGGAGATGGAAGATGTGAAGGAAATACTAATACTAATAATAAAGGGCAGGCCAGACAGAGCATAGAAGAATTCTCCCAAATCTGCGGGACCCACAGATCTGTACCTGTTCTCTTCTTCATCGCTACACTACGCTATTGAGGGGGGCTCTGGAAATTTTGAAAGTTTCTTTCCAGCTTCTCTTCCTTTCATTCGATTCGATCTCATCAGGATAAGGAAAACCCATTTGAACATTCAAAATATATATAGATATATATATATATATCCCCTCTTCCTTTCTCTCATTAACAACAGAGATATACTGAGTATTGTATTATTATCCACTTTGGTGCAATTATTTTAATTACATTTGTTTTCTTCATAAGGCAGCCATTAATGATGGACCTTACTCAATAATTTATTTTATAAAAAATATCGATATTATTGCCGAAACAATCAACACTCGGGACTAATAACCCCAACTGCAATAATTTATTGATGGCACTGTCTCAGTGCTTTTATTTTATTTAATTTAATTATTCCTTGTAATAAATTAAGGGTATGTATCGTGTGGTGTGGTTGGCTTGGTTTTAATTGGACTTTGGAATGCTGAGTTTTTTTTTTTTTTTTTTTTAATTCAAATTCAAATTAAAAATTCAATTGCAAACACAAACTCTAAACCCATATAAATAAATATTACAAATTTATTTTTAAAAAATGGGAAAGTTAGGATATTAATGCTGTATGTTTGATTTTGATTTAAATTATTATGTGTTTATTTATTTAGTGTTTTAATTTAAAATATTTTTTGATATAAAATATAGGAATGATATAAATGATTTTTATATTAAATGTTAATTTTTTTTAATATATATTGAGAATTGTATAAATAAAAAAAAAAAAATTATTAGACAAACAAAGCTTATACTATTATATTAGTATAAACCAAATTTCAAATTCAAATTAAAAAATTTTACTGTTTAAAATTGAAATTTAAAACTCAATCTCCAACTAAATACAGTAGATATTTTTGGTATTAGTTATTTATACTAATATATTTTAAAAATATTAAATTAAATATTTATGTTATATTATACTAAAATAATATAATAAAAATTTAGTTTTATTTATAAAATATCACTTTAAATACTTGTGTTTGTTTGTGAATTTGATTTATAGTTTTGTGAATTTTGTTTGTGAATTGTATTTATACTAATATCATTTTTCTATTTTAGTCCGTCTCATAACAAAGTATCTATTTTGTTTTTTTAGTAACTATACTATCTACCTAACATTACAAATACCTTTACAACTTACAATATACTCCTTCCATCCCACCGGAATTGAACACTTTGATTAGGGACACAGTATTTAAGGTGAGAATATTTAATTAGTTAATAATAATTAGTTATGATATTATTATATTATTTTTTTGTATAATTAATAATATTTATTATTTTAAAGTAAATTTAATATATATAATTAAAAAAATTAAAATATATCTCTAAATATTTAAAAATTATATAGCAATTAAAAAAAAATTTGCAATATGAATATCATTTTGTAGAAAATAAAATCTTGAATAATACAAGTAAATAAAAAAAATATTTTTGTTTATTTATAATTAATTTTGAAAAAAAAATAAAACTCAAAAAAACTTCTAAAATAATAAAATAATACTCGAAAATGCGCACTAGATAAAATTATACTAGGCAAATCATATGTGATAGGTGACCTTAGACGTCACAAATTCAACCCTTACACTACCAAAAGGGATGGTCTATATTGTCTGAATAATACTCCCTCCGTCCCAAACACCCTGTAATATTTCTTTCTTTGTTTGTCTCAAACTCACTGCAAATATTTATAAATTTAGAAATAATTAATAATATTTATATACATATATTAATATATACTTCACTTTATCCCATCACATCACTTAAATAAAAAAATATATAAACATTTCTCTCTCCAATCACATCACTTAATATTCAAATTATCTCAAATTATCATACTTAATATTCTCCACCTATATTCTCGTGCCAAACACAAATATTGCATAGTGTTTGGGACGGAGGGAGTAAGAGGACTATTGTCTGAATAGTATGAGATGGTGCAAAAAACGGGAACCAAACAAGGCCCTATATAAAACATCAGTCAGCAGTCGAAGATTTAAAAATCAAAAACGAAAAAGGAAAACGCTAGAGCCCGCCCGACAGCTTTTTGTCGCATTTGTGACTGCACTAAATATATATTTCAAATAAAAATAAAGTCGGGTCGGGTCTCATATTTTAATTTAAAACATGTACATATAAAATCGAGCAATTATAGGCATAAACTAATCAATCATTCACCAATTAATAAAGACTTGTTTATCTACGTGTTTGTTTTTTTTAAAAATCCTAATACCATTTGCAAGTACTGTAAATACAAGAATTTGATAATGGTATAATTAATAAATAATTAAAAGTATATTACTCTCTCTGTCTCATATAATGTGTCTGATATACTATAGAGTGTAATTAGTAGATAATTAAAAATGTATTAGTGAAAATAATTATTCTATAATATAAATAATTATAAATTAAGATTAAGATAACTAATTAATTTAATTAAAATTAAAAAAAATAAATTAAAAAGTTTAAAAAAATGAGATTAAAATGTGTAATCATTTTTTTAAAAAAAAGAAATGACATGGAACGTGGAACGGACAGATGTGGGACAGAGGGAGTACTAAAATAAGTATAAAATTAAAATTAAAATGATTTGTTAGTCTAATTAAAATTTATAAATTATAAATTATAAAATTTAAAATAATATATGGAGCATAATATTTTTTTAAAGCATTAAAAGTGTGTTTATTTTGTGAAATAGTATTAAAAAAATTACAATTTTGTTTTTGGCATACAAACAAGTCGTTAATTTGTTGTCGTAGTTGTTGTTTATGCATTTTAGAAAATTCGTACACTTTGGCTGCATTAAAACATGTCTTATACTTCCTCCGTCCAGTTAGAAAGTTACATATTTCTATTTTGGGACGTCCAATTACAAAGTAAACATTTCATTAAATATCTTACTTTACATCACATCATTATTTTTACACCAAAAAGCAAGGGCAAAAATGTCATTACACTACTTTTAACTACCCACTATAATTAAAATATTATTATTTCTTAAACACCGCGCCAAAAATAATTGTATACTTTATGAGTAGACGGAGGAAGTATGGAATAAGAAATAAATATATCTTGTGAAGAGGATATGCATGAGAAGTCAATGATACGTCTTTTTCAGCCTCCATAACAATAATTATCTTGTACACACTTATCAAAACATGCAGTAAGAAGATATTTGTCTTTGTGTGCAGAGTGCGTATTTTGTTTTATATGTAAGTAAGTGTTGAATCGGGTGAGATTTATACATTTCTTAGGTGTTTTGTTCTCTCCACTTTACCTATGTTGAGAGGTGTATTTATGAAGTTTTGAAGATGATGAAAAAGAGTTCATGGAGTCGAGATCGAATGAGGTAACCAACTGTACGCCACCTTACTCTTAGCTTGATTATTGGTCTGTTGGAGTCAGTTATCACGTTGTAACAGTCAATCTATTTGAGTTTGTAAAATGATATGGAGCTTCGTTTGATGACAGATTTGGTAGATTTGTTTGGTATCTTGAATGTTGTAAATAAGTGTTTAATTTAGTTAAAATTCCTATATTGGTATCTCCAGATGTAGGATTTAATACCAAATTAGGTTAACAAATTGTGTTTGTTTGTTCTTGTTTTGCACTTGTTCAGCTACAAAATTGTGTGTACACACACTGTCGTTTTAACCACATGTCAACCATGTTCAAAGTTATGATTACCACCGACAATTTCATATTTTCACTGCGTATAAAACTTGGAGGCATTGAACCTTTTTTTGGGACGATCGAATATCCAACAAATAGTTTGAAAGAATATTTATTATATATATTATAAAGAATTGCATACCTAATATAAAAATAATAAATATACACTACAAGAAAATATTATTTTTGTAACGATTTTTTTTTTCCTAAAATTACTTTTTCTTTTAGTAATGACATTATAGACGAAATTAGAGATAAAATTATGTTAGCTACGTGAACTTTATGGACAAAATTCTGTTACAAATATACTATTTTTTTTTTTGTAGTGATATGTAGGGTGTGTTTGTTTGGGGATTGGATTTTAAATACATTATTCATCTCATTTTTTTCCCCAAAAATATCAAATCAAACACCTATTTTTTTATTTTTTATATTGTAATAAAAATCAATTTTACATTCAAAACATCATATCAACACCTATTTATATCACATTATACAACTATTCAAATTCAAATTTTTTACTCTAAACATCACATCTTGTCCTGTAAAGGATGATCTGGTAGTAGTGTAGGAGTTGAACTTATGACCTCCCTAACCTCAGGTCATATACCACACATTTATCTCATAGAATATTACTTCGCTTGTGACCTGTTAATTTATGTTACTATTTATTTTAATCATTCATTAATTTTATGCATAATTTATTTAATAAAATTTTTTTAATAGATTTATTTTATATTTTATATTAAAATATTGAACTCCTCCAAACAAAAATAAATAAATTTTGTATACGAAAATAACATATTGTATTAAATATTTATTTTTAAAATTATTCAAATTTTCAAAATTGTAATTTAAAATAAAATATATCTGATTATAATTTAAAATAAAATATTAATTTAAAATTTTATTTAAATAATATTAACTTAGCAAGACCTGAAAGTGGAAGTTGAACTCATATTTTTATTTATTTTATTTCTTCTTGTTTTACCAATTGATGAGATTGATTACATATGCAGCCGAGATGTCTCTCACAACACGTTACACGTCATCACCAATTTGTGTCTCTGACTCTGCTCTGTCTGTGTGCTGCAACGGCACTATGACGTGTTTAATTATAAAATTACTCATTTGCCCCTCTTCTCTCAATAAATGAATTTGTAAATAACCAACAATGATTAGTATTATTATATAATTGCACGTACAGACAAAGATGAAGCAAACATATATAGATTTTGGTCCCTCATATTTAATTAATTTATAAATTTTTATTTTTTGCTGACACGTCTGCATATTCAATCTAATTTTTTGTGACTCTTGCATAAAAATTATTACCTCGGTCCCACGTACGGTGTCTGTTACACCGTAGACACAGTATTTTAGGAGGGATGTAATTACTAGATAATTAAGAATGTATTAGTGAAAATAATTA